TTTTTTCTGGACTTAATTATGATTTAATTAAATAAAGATAGTTACCTGTTTATATTATATATTTGATTTTAATTGTATTTTATTATGTTAAATATTATGGAGTTAGAATCTGTTAAAAATGGCAAGTTATCTGCCCTTGATCTAATCACAGCAGTATGTCCTGTCAGTGTTCAGTTATTGCATCATCGGTTTATGAGTTAATAAAGGGCAATAAACCATGTATTACACCTGCTTGTAGACTCGTTACAGGTGTCAATGTTTCATATTTGCTGGTTTTTATGAAGGTCAGTGTCTTATGTCCAGACTGGACATAGGTTTTTATGCTTTATTATATACCTTTAATGGCAATTTATTGATGGGGTATATATCATATTAAAGAATTGAATACATCATGGACTATGCTTGATATGTGGGAAAACCATAGGGAGGAATTAAGTATCAAATTGTGTGAAAAATGAAATTTTGTGTATGAACAACATTTAGTGATTAAATACATTGTATTATCAGTTAAGTAAACAGGAAAAGTGAGAAAAAACAACAATAACAACAAAAAACAACATGTACATGGAATTAACTTAAGATTTGTGTGAGTTTTTATTCCAAGTGTAAAGAGATGGATATAGTATTTGAGATCAATAATTTTTTCATGAATTAAATCGAAAGGTTGGTGGATTATAGTGGTCAGTATAATATATATCAAAGGTATATGCATTTATGAAATACAAACTTTGATAGCAAATTTAACCGATATTTTGTATTTCTTGTAAATTTTGTTTATATTTGTATGGGAACAGTTTTATGAATATGGTAATTCAATTAACCTTATCAGTCGAGATGTCAAAATATATATCCAATGTCTTACATTCCTGCAATTCCAGTAGGAATTGTTTTTCGGAAAGGATCTTGGAAGTTTGTTCGTTGTAATTCTGTGTGGTTGAAAAAAGTAAAATTTTGTGGAATATAAATATAGTAATTTGACATTATATCTACGTCATACTTAATACTGTCTAGTTGGTATTCTTGGCTTCGACCAAAGGCGTTCAAAATTCCATAAAATATTTGGTCGATTGATCTGATATTGTGGCACGTTTGCGGAGAAAAGCTCATAATTTGCGGGAAGTCGATACAAATTAAATCATTCATTTCTTTACTACGGTCGTAAATTTTCTATAAGAACACATCTATTCGAATGATCTATTTTCATTTCCAGTCTCATTTGATTTTCCTCTATGAAAATGCATTCATAGATGGTGATAAAGAAATTTACTCAGAATTTCTGTAATTTCAGCTTGGTATCGGAAATGTTTTTATAAGCAACCATTGACTCAATCCCAAGTGGAAAGGGGGGAAAAAAGAGAAAAAGAAATCATGGACAAGCATCTTAAAACATTGTTCATGATAAAAGTTGATATATGTAGATTTCTGCATGTTATTTTCCATCAATAAAACAGGGAAACTCGTCACCGGCACTCATGGCTGACGTTTGGCTTGGATCTCTGAAGGGAATATCCATATAAATGAGGCATTTTGGTGTAAATGTCTATAAATTTGTGCATGAAAATTGATGGAAATATGCTTGAGCAGTCCATTAGGAGCAGATCTAGCTACAAGTGTTTATCCCATATTTTTCTGATCAATAAAACATAAAGAAGAGCAACAAGTCTGATGGTAGGAATTTTAATACAGACAGACTTGTGCTGATGTCCACCTCTAAAAGTAAACCACCTCTAAAAGTAGACCACCTTTGAAATTTAAAAGGCTCCTGAAACATTTAAGATAATAAATGATATTTCAAAAGAAAACTGTTTACAGAGACCACCTGACAGCATTGATCTTGTATTTTATTGTTTCAAAATGTCGGCATTTTGATAAGTTAAATCAATAAATATGACATTAATAACTATTTCAACTTTCTAAAAAGTTTGAAAATAATTATATTACATTAATTGTGCTAAATAACATGCATATATTTTGGATAATAAAGAAACATTTCACTAGAACTTTGTTAATAAAATAAAAGATAGTGGAAGTATTTAAGATGATATACAATGTTTAATCACATCACCAAGAGTTTTCATTCCAATCCAATATTTTATAAATTATTATCTTGCAAACATGAGTATTTAATTGATAAATGTCACAGATTTTTAGCGACATTGAAGCATTTTCTTGTTCAAAGTCTGCAGAAAAAGCATCAGCTGATGCTAAGTGGGGGTCTTGTATCAATTGAGGAAGAATATTACATATTTTCTCATTAAAGATTTGGCCATAGACGTTCAGCTGTTAAAAAACGCAGACAGAAATTGCTTAAATTGATACCTATAATGTAGTCAGTTTCTGGCAAGCAATCGTTATGATAGAATAATTTCGATATTCTTTGCAACTTGGAGTCTAGACTTGAGTGCCTATTTTTAACGATGGTAAAATTATATTTGTTCCTATTTTCTTGCAGGACATTATTTCCTGGCCTGGATAGAGTAAATATTGAAGATTTTAATGGCAAAGTACATTAAAACAATAAGATATTCAAATTTTAATGTACTCCTGAATTATTTTGAGTTCAGCCTGACTAAAACTTGGCTTAAAAAATCATGCTTTTGCGACTCCATAAAGATGGTATTGCACGGACGTGCATATATTTGACATGACGTCATTTGCTTTATGTAAACATATTGTAAAGACTGTTACACTATAAATGCGCCAATGGAAAATAATTCCTTTGCATTTTACACAGTCTTTAATTTAGGTATGTGATAAATAGAATATTATATTCCTGTAAGTTCATTACTGAATTTATTTAACTTGTTCAATAAATTCGGTATTGAACTTACACTCATTCAATATCATCCATTTATGAAGCTTATTTATAGATAGATCAGTAATAACAAAAAAAATTACAACCAATAGGGGTCAATTTGGTGATATTTGGTGCAGTCAGACATGACGATTATTTTTTCCTAAGATACTCCATAAGGGAGAGATGTCTTCACTCTATATAAGGGCGGGTGATAATTCAAATCTCTCGCTGGAGAATTGTGATGACTTTGTATCAATATTAGTGATTAATTTGACATTTCCAATCAGCCAGGTCCGACTTTTATCTACAGATGTTAGGGTATACAAATAAAGGAATATGTTACAAATATCGGGCCATTATACGCTGATGTGATGTAGCATGAATAATGTAAAGGTGCCGCATCAGACGGCAATGCTGATTAATTCGATGCGAAGTGGTCATAGAGTCGAGGGATTCTGTATGTTCAATAAATATATAACTGTTTGTCTTGAAAAAGATTCCTTTTATCATAATAATGCTTGTACAAAGAATATACTTGACAGTAAAAAAACACTTTATTCAGAAAAAAATATTTAATAGTTGTTTTGTAATAAGAAATTTGACTGGAATACTAAACATTGCTCTGTTTGTGTCAAATGTTGCGGTACTAACGACAATATATTCCTATTTTTATAGCTTGAATGATTGTCGTTAAAAATAAACTTGTCAAAAGGAAGTTAATTCTTCAAGAATTTGAAGAAATTTTAGGAATTCAAAGAAATTTAAGTAATTTGAAGAAGTTTTAGGAATTTGAAGAAATTTGTTTTGATTTAAAACCTAGGTCACTCACATTTGGGTTGGTGTCCCGGTCTATTATCTAAAAGAAAAATAAAGTTACCCAAGAGATTAATTAAATTGGACGGCAAAATTAGATGCAACAAGTATAAATGTGCTATGAAAATGATTGTCTATATTTATTCAGTTAGATTTAATTTCGTCTCCATTCTTTTGCAAGGAAGCGATTTTACAAGTAAATGATTTATGTTGAATTAGAAAGCAAATATATGATTGGTTCTTCTTTTATTACCATAAGCTGAGAAATAATGACAATGTATAATGATTTAAATTTCCTCTTTGTCATCTAAGACTTTGGTGATCGAATGTAAATAGAAACATTACACTTGTTAGTGAGTATGAAAGATATGGGTTGTGGTAGCAGAGGTGAAGAGGGTCACACTTTTATAGATTAAAAGAGATAAATTAACCACTGAAAAGAAAAAATATCTCTATATGTAAAACAAAGCAACAAATTTATAAACATCAAAATCTGAATTGACAGAATGTCAAACAATTTTATTCATAGCTGTCTGTAATACTAGGACAAACTTATTTGCAATAGAGAGGAAGTAAAAGTTTTGATTGTTCAACAAAAGACAATGTTATAGGACTTTCACTGAACAAACAAATGTCATGCCTTTATATAGGTGCTCTTTATATATTATATATTAAAGTGTTTTACGTGATAACCATATCCTATTCAAACCTATCTAAAAAAAAAATTCGATACTCAAGTATTTTTTTATTGGCATATGTTTATGACATGAAGACAGTGTGGTTATTGTACTTGTATTTTTTTCCTGATTTTTATTCTTCATCGGGAATAAAATTATGTCAGTAATTTCAAGTGGACAAATTTGAATTTTATAATTTACTTCAAGTGGATGTAAAATTCATTCCAAGTTTGATGATTGTTGATCTTTTGCGGGTACGAGACTAACATTATTGTCTGTTTACGAGGAATTGATAAGTAATGATTGATCAAATATGGTAAAAACATAAAAATACAGAGAAAAATGTAGCAAATTGAGAAATATTGCGATATTTTCACATGGGAGTGCAAATAATGATGCAAGTCTCGTGGAATTTCATGACAAAAACTAACGTCATAAGACCCATGAGAACCACATTTTATAACGCATTCATGACGAAAATATTTTATTTTGAATATAAAATGAGAGCAATTTTGGCCTATTAGAATATTTGAAGGAAATTATTTTACATTAAAGAAGGTCTACTCTATAAGGGTATTGCATGGTATGCTTTAAATTTAGAAAGGCTCTCAAATTGCTGATAAAAACTTGTATACAAAATTAATGTAGTTTCAAAAGCAGATGGTCTAACACTAAACAGAAAATTATTAATAATTTATTTTTTCTATTTTCAGTTTCTGTTAAGATCTGGGTCCCAAGACAGACCAGGAATTTACAAGGGGGCAGAAATGTATCCCCAGGGTGGTACTGATGGCCCTGGTATGGGTCAGTATGGCCGCCCTGTAAACTATCCAATGTCAGGCTCGCACTTTATCAACACCCCGTATATGCAACAACCGCTTTCTATGCAAGTATATCACCAACAACAACAGCAGCAGCAGCAACAACAACAACAATCCCAGCAGTTTTATCATCAGCAGCAATTTCATCATCAACAACAACAACAAAATGTTCAACCACAACAGCAGTCGCAGCAACAGTTTTACCAACAACAACAACATCATCAGTCTGCGATACAGTATCAACAACAACAGCATAATCAGCCGCCTATACAATACCAGCCTCACCCATACCATTACCTCCAGCATTCTCACTCTGCCCCAGGGTCTCCTGCAAGGGTACTCTCGCCTCCGCCAAGGATACAGTCTCCACCTCCAAGAATGATGAGGATTTCCTCGCCGCCACCATCATCTCCATCATTGTCAAGATTATCAGCGATGTCGCCACCGCCAAGTGCCTCTTCCTCGCCAGCTGCCTCATTCTTTGCCAGGTAAGATATTTATTATATACATGTATATCACTAACTATAAATAGATTTGTCATTATAGAATATGTGAACGTAAAATAATAGTACCTACAATCGGACTTTGTTTGATGATCACCGCTGACATAAGAGAGCAAAAGTGGCCTTTTTTGTCGCGTTTGAACGTAACGTATGTTGCTATATCAGTATGTTCCTGTTCTTAATTGTTATACAGGTACATTTTCATGTTTGTCGGACAATTTACATAGACATGAGTCATGTAGCAGCACTTTTCGTCTTTCAAGGTATTAATTAATGATTTCCTCGTACCATTTAACATTAACTGAACCCAGGGGTGAAGAGGAAGTTATTTAGGGTTAAGAAGAGTCTGGTCTGTCCAACATGGCAACCTTTGTAATTTATAATGCTGAAATTAAAGAGACATGGAAACATTGAAATCTAATTTTGCTTTCTTAACATTTAAGTATTGAATTTTATAAATTCATCAAATGCTTCAATGTCCCAACTGTTACAGCAAAGTTGATATATATTTGATATTTTACACGGAGGCTGCCCGGGGCAATTAGCTATAACCTGTAACAATTCATGATGTACCTTCATTTAACTTTGATATGTATTCTTCTTTTAATCAAATATTATTCTAATTAAGTTAACTTTTTAAATGCTTTGTACTATCAAAGACATATAAAGGTCGAACATGCTTACAAAAAGCAAAATTACAATTTAAAACCAATTTTGCCTCTTTTTTGGTGATCGCGAAGGCGCTTTAATCTAAAGAGAGGAAAAACGTTTTGCTTTAATAGGATTGGTGTCAGTTATCAAAGAATTTATGAACATATGGTTTTTACGCCTTTTAAAATTGAGTTATCGATTAAAGTTTTTCGTAATTTACCATGTGGCTAAAGTTGAAAATTCAATTTTCGTTGTAAATAGTTTCTGTAATGAGAATATAAATATCAATTACTAACAATGGCAGTGTACAGGTGGTTAACGATAGTTATCCATTACAAATTGCTTTGATTTTTTAACACATACCTGTGATATTATTTATCCGTAAGATATGTAATTTTTTTGTAATTTGTAATATTTTCTTTTAAATGACAATCAGATTAAAAAGGATTTTTTTTTTAAATAATATTTTCTTTTGAAGGGTTTTATTTTCTTTGTTGTTTACAAACTGCTCATTTTGTAATTAGCAACAAGATTGTTCAGTTCAATCCTCCTGGAGGAAAGTAAAATATGGGTACGGTATAATTAAATAACCACACACATTCTTAAACTGTCATTATCATCACCTTTTTGGTGTTTTTGGTGTTTTTTTAGTGTTAGTTCTATGAACTTAATTTCTTGTTGTTTTGCCCATTTAAGGAGAATGACTAAGTAATTTGATAAAATAAAAAAAAGGTTTAGCTTTTATAGAATAAAAGCAGCAAACTAATTTGCATCAAAACTACTTAAATTGAATAATTACAATCTATTTTAGCATCTTTGTTTATTCAAACTGTGTCGTTTTTGTATGTTGATTTATAGTTTAAAATGAGGACGAAAAACACCCCTGTAAATAGTTGTGATTCATTATAGTGATTTTAATTATAATGCAATGTAGCTTTTTTCTTTCTTTGTGAATAAGCAAATTGGCACGTTTTAAGTAGCGAGTGTTTCATATTTAATGAGGGATAACAATTTTTGTTGCGACTTCATTCATTTTTCCCACTGTGGCCATGTATGATCATTGAGTGAAACTATCTAGCAACGATTACCAGTTTTATGAATGAATAAGTTCACAAAAAAATATATAATTTGTAAATTTCTCGGGTACCAATAAGTTATGTTCACAAGGGAAGAGTTATTTGAGTAATTATATAATATCTAATCCAGCAATCAAGGCATAACATGCTTTCATTATTCATTTTCTCAAGTTGCAAACAGTTTTGCCAAATCAAATGATCAAATATTGCAGGAATGCCACTAAATTAACTTCAACAAAAGTAAAACAACACCCTTTTTAACACTGAAAAAAAAAGCCGCAGTCGCAAAAAAAAATGCAAAAGTAAATCAACAGCAGACACAAAAAAATAAGCAGGCAAGCAGGAGAATTTCAACAAGAAATTAATTTGTTTCCAAAATTAACATAGCAAAATACATATAATATACAAGCAGTTAAAACCCTGAAGATGTCCATCAAAGCTGACCCTGTATAAAATGCAGATAACATTTTAAGTACACACAGTTTGTCTATGATATTCCTATGTATCTATGTTTGTAAATGTTTGAAGAACTAGGCAAGAGAAATCTTTGCTTCTTTTTTCCCCCTTCAGTCAGCTTAAATGTAGAAAATATGTATAAGAAGACATTTTGTATTTGCATAGTATTTTGTATCAGATAACTTAATTTTGTTTTTGTTGTCTTAAATATCTAAAACTTTGATGTTTATTTAATAGATCTGCAACCTGAAGTTTGCTTTAACCTGTCTCTTTTAAATACACTTTGATTAATTGGAAACTCTCTCCAGTTTTTGCTCTTCTATCTAAATGTCTTTTAAAAGCTTTGCAATTCATTTGAATTTCATATTTATTTTTTTTCTACATTTTGCATTTTGAGGTCATAGCTGATACAGCAAATTCTACAATATGCAAATCTGCGTTCCGAGCTCTTAAGTTAAGTCTCAAATTAAAGAGGCCTTCAATCATTTAATATTCTTGTTTTGTTTTCCCTGGATTCATAGGCATCTTGTTTAACCATGTTGATTGAAAAGAGTAAATCCCTTGTTGAACATGAATAAACTTCCATTTGTAACCTTTAGCAGTTGTAAATCTACTGGCACGAGCCCTATAATTACCTAAATTATCTATATTTATGTGGTCATTAAATTGTTCTGTTGCCTTCCTCCCAAAGGGTATAGGCTTTATTGTAAGATTTTTTATAGATTTTTACATTTCATGCACGCGATCACTTTATCGTAGAAATTCTTCATTGCATAAAAGCGTCTTTTATCACAGACGATAATTCAATATTACTCCCATTAGCATTCCACTTGTAGAATCTCGAGTGCGTTTTGGTGAAAAAAATCAAAACAGCCTCAGAAAGACACTGTTTTCTTTAATTTCGTTCAATTTTGACGTGAAAGTTTCAATATTTGAGCTCTTGAAAGCTTGTCACATTTTGCCACTTTTGAGTGGTTTGTGTGTTTTCTTTAATTTGAATTTCAATAAGCAGACTATTTGATTTAACGGAGGGATGTAACTGTTACATAGCAATGTTTGCCGTGATTATTTCTCTAATTCGGTTTCGTCTAATAAGATCTTTTGTGCTAAAAGGGATGACACGTTTTAAAGTGTCTCTTAATTTGCGGTGTTACATCTCGAAGAGGTTTTGATACAATACTTCTGAATTCCAGAATGAAAAAACATTTTGTTCGTTTATAATTGATTCTTTATGTAAACATAAAGAAAATAATTTGATTAAGGGAAAATGCATTGAAAGCATTGCAACAAACGTAAGAAGAATAAGTGGTTGAATTATCTCATAACTAGATTACTAAACTTTTTTTCACTTATTAGCTCACCTGAGCATATGCTCAGGGTGAGCTATTAGGATCACTCTTCGTCCGTCGTCCGTCGTACGTTGTCCGTTCACACTTTTCAAACGACATCTCCTCTGAAACCATAAGGCAGATCATAATGAAACTTCACAGGGATGTTCCTTGTGTGAAGCCTTAACAAAGTTGTTCAAAGAATTCCATTCCATGCAGAACTCTGGTTGCCATGGCAACCAAAAGAAAAAACTTTAAACATCTTCTTCTAGAAAACCCAAAGAGCTAGAGCTTAGATATTTGGCATGAAACATGTTCTAATGGATGTCTACCAAGTTTGTTCAAATAAAAGCCCTGGGGTCAAAATTGGCCCCGCCCCAGGGGGTCATTGATTTTCCTTATATGCATATAGTAAAAACTTAAAAAAATCTTCTTCTAAAAAACCCAAAGAGCTAGAGCTTAGATATTTGGCATGAAACATGTTCTAATGGATGTCTACCAAGTTTGTTCAAATAAAAGCCCTGGGGTCAAAATTGGCCCCGCCCCAGGGGGTCATTGATTTTCCCTATATGCATATAGTAAAAACTTAAAAAAATCTTCTTTTAAAGAACCCAAAGAGCTAGACCTAAGATATTAAGCATGAAACATCTTCTAATTAGTGTCTACCAAGATTGTTCAAATAAAAGCCCTGGGGTCAAAATTGGCCCCGCCACAGGGGGTCATTGATTTTCCCTATATGCATATAGTAAAAACTTAAAAAAATCTTCTTCTAAAAAACAAAGAGAGCTAGAGCTTAGATATTTGGCGTTAAACATGTTCTAATGGATGTCTACCAAGTTTGTTCAAATAAAAGCCCTGGGGTCAAAATTGGCCCCGCCCCAAGGGGTTATTGATTTTGCCTATATGCATATAGTAAAAACTTTAAAAAATCTTCTCTTAAAGAACCCAAAGAGCTAGAGCTAAGATATTAAGCATGAAACATCTTCTTATCAGTGTCTACCAAGATTGTTCAAATAAAAGCCCTGGGGTCAAAATTGGCCCCGCCCCAGGGGGTCATTGATTTTCCCTATATGCATATAGTAAAAACTTAAAAAAAATTCTTTTAAAGAACCCAAAGAGCTAGAGCTAAGATATTTAGCATGAAACATGTTCTAATGGGTGTCTACCAAATTTGTTCAAATAAAAGCCCTGGGGTCAAAATTGGCCCCGTCCCAGGGGTCATTGATTTTCCCTATATACATAGAGTAAAAAGTTAAAAATCTTCTATTAGAGAACCCAAAGAGCTAGAGCTAAGATTTTCAGCTTGAAACATGTTCTAATGGATGTTTACCAAGTTTGTTCAAATAAAAGCCCTTGGGTCAAAATTGGCCCCGCCCTAGGGGGTCATTGGTTTTCCCTATATTGTATATTAAAGTAATTAAATACTTAAAAATCTTCTTTTAAAGAACCCAAAGAGCTAGAGCTAAGATATTTA